CTGGTGGTGCTTCACTTTCAACACCGAATGAAATCGGTGACGAACGCTCGTGTTTCGAAATCTTCTCTCGCTTTGGGAAATAAATGGACTGCCTTGAAGACCGCGATAAATCACAGCGCGGCGCGGATCCAATTTTCCGCGAACGCCGGGAACTGGAACTGCGTGAAATCGCTGGAATCTTCGATAACGCGAGAACGAGATCTTCTTCCGCTATTAACCGTCTCTCACTATGCGATGCCATTTTCCTTAACGTCGATCTAATTTCTCAACTGCCTTCTCGTCCTCCATTTTTTTCTTTTTTTTTGTTTTATCGAACGAGAATAGTTACTTTTCTGCGTATGTATCTGGTCGGATCTCAGGAGAGCACTTGAACATATTTATCGAGAGAAATTTCGAAAGACGAATCTCGGCAGCTGGTGTTATCCAAATATCCTACTGACTCGATCTCTATCTCGCTGACTCAATGATCGTTAAAAATCCAAAGAAAGCAGCGTCGAATTGATTCGGAATTACTCGAAAGGAAATCCTCGAATAGATCAAGCAACTCGATTACCGATAACACGAACGAGGTAGCGAGACGAACAATTGTTCGTGGCTGCCACAGTTATTCGCCGCGTATTGAGCAGGGCCGCAGAGGAGTGAAGGAGTTAATTTAACTTGGTTTTTGAAAGCGGCGCATCCGCAAGCTTTGGAGAAATAAGAGCGACAACACACACACACACACGCGCGCGCGCGTGGTATAATAATAGAGGCAGACGCGCGGAACTTCGGCTTGCAACTTCCTGTAAGTTTATTGGTTTCCGTTGTACTTTCGCGTAGCTTAAGAATCGTGGGGGGAGAGGAGCGAGTTCACTATGCAGTCGGTTGAAGCAAGCCACGGCCTCTGTTCGCCAGGCTGCCTGCCTTGGCGCACTCCAAACCAACCAGGCGGAACAACAATTCGCGATACTTTGGAAAATATTTCATCTTCGATTCTCAACGCCTTTGTCTCTCTCTCTCTCTCTCTCTCTCTCTCGTTCTCTGAAACTTGTGCGAAACTATCGGCGGCTGCCAGTCGGTTCCTCAGTCAGGCACGTCCCGCTCGAGACTTGCAGATTCATCGATCGTTCTCGCTCGTTCGGAGGAGAGTCATCCATCTCGAATTCTCGCTCGATACAACCAAAAATGATATACGAAAGACGTGCAAGATGTGCAAGAGATACATGTGTGTCTGGCGTGTATATACGCGCGTGCCGGCGTTTCGTACTCCCACACGAGCATCAGGGCCACACGCAAGTACAATGATAAACGTCACGGCGCGCGTTACGACATCATCGATCCGCTCGTACGTTTCTTTGTTGCTCTAGAGAGAGAACGTATGTGTGTGTGTGTGT